TGTTGTCCCCTCCCAGTTTGGCATTCATGTCGCCCATTAGAATTTTGATATCGCCAACTGACGTCTTGTCCAGTGTTGATTGAAGTTGTCTGTAGAATTCCTCCTTTTTCTCTTGCTCTGCATTATTTGTAGGTGCATAACATTGTATGATTGTGACCTTTCTTCCTTTTGAGTTGAATCTTGCTGTCATGATCCTGGAGGAGATTGGTTCCCACTGCATGAGAGCCTTCGATGCTCTTGAGGACATCATGATAGCCACTCCCTCAGTGTGCTCGTGGTTGGCGTCTGGGTGACAATCGGAGTAGATTATTGATTCTCCAGTTGACAGTTTGGAGAGTCCACTCCCATTCCATCTGCTTTCGCAAATCCCAAGCACTTCGATGTTATACCTTCTCATCTCCTTTGCAATCTGGGCTGCCTTACTGGGTTCAAACATGGTGCGGACATTCCATGTCCCCACGTTTACTTTCGCTTTCATCAGGGAGAGAAGACACATCGGCCAATTGGCTTCCCGAAGGCTTTCACCAACTGGCGTCATTTCGCCTCTCCGATTCCAGCGGGGAATAAGTTTGTTTTCATTTTTTATATTTTGTTTGTGCTTTGAAGTTTCTTTAGCGGTTAGATTTGTTTTACGGGGTAGGGTTGCTAGCCCTATGCCCAACCTTCCCTCTTTACCCGGGCTTAGGACCGGCTAGTAACTAGTAAACTAGTTAACCAGGCGAGGTTGATGTCACTCTTACTCTTATTCTATCCACCTGTTCTTTGTACACTACTGTGAGGTGTCGTAACTTGAGCCGATGTACTTGTGTGTGAGGTTCTGTGTTGATTCTGCCTGTCTGTCTGTAATCTGTAGATTATTAGATTGAAGCCTAATCATAATCAACTGTTCTCTTGCATTGGTACGGATGTCAGACAAATGAATCAATAAGTGTCTATATTACCATAGTGAATACATTCCCGTGAAAGATATAACTGTCTTCTATGAAAACATCCATTCATGCACATACACTATTAAAGAATTTAGTTCAGATGAACAGTAGTCATTAACTTCGATGACCAAGATAGTTAAATACATATTTTTGTTTATATCCGTTGGTTGGTGACAGACGAAGTTGAAATTTCACTTAACTATGTCTATTACAAATTCAATAAAGGGGTCCACCTTTTTTTCTAACTTATTGTTTTGTTGACCTTCATAATAGAGAGAAAGTGAGATTCATTTTTATGAAATGAAATAATTTGTTATGCTACAGCATTAATAACTTTCGATATGTTATTTTAGACACACTTAGCATACATTAACATTTAGGTTTGTATAAACTATCGACTGTATACATATTATGCACTCAATGCGAAAGTTGACTAAACGCGTAAATTCATGTATGAACAAGATGCATATATTCTCGTTGAAAGTGATTAATTGTAAAGTGACATTAATATCCGCTTCAATTTCATTTCACATATACATGAAACAGTTTAGAGATGACTCTAAAGGCTATCCTAATAATAATAATAATAATAACTGAGATAACCAATATGGGTTCCACATTTTATGAAAAAACTACCTTTCTAGCCGGACTACCAAACTATGATTGGCTATTTCAGCAGTTGATACAGTGGCCTTGAAAATCACTCCAGTATACAAAATAGAGTGGAAGGGAAAGTATTCTCTGTGCCAATAGATAATTTGGCATCACCAATTTATTTTCCTCATCATCATGAGAGTGATTTTAAAGGCCACTCGGAGTTTTGGCTGAGAAAGTAATTTCCCATAAAGTAGAGGGAACAAATTGTTTATCTCAGGAGTTGTTAGAATGGGCTTTTAAAGTCATGCTTATCATGAAGAAAAGAACTGATTGACTATTTAAAAAATTGGCTAAATATACATGAATGCTACCCTTGTGTATGACTTTTTAAGGCAATTTCTTTTTAATCATGCATCTTGAACTAAGTGGAACGCGTTTAAATAACAATGCCTTAGATGAGCTGTTTGTTTTCATTTATCAGTCAGCCGGTCAGCATGAATATAAAACCTGGCATTAGTTAGCGGTTAGTAGTTTAATTTGTCACACCTCACACAAATAAATAGGCATATTTCATAGTTACAGCGCATATTCAAGCATACAAAACAATAAAGTCATCCCATCGGATAATGCTTAAAAAAGAAAGGACAAGAGAAATCTCTGCTGACCAAATACAGATTAAGGTACAACAAAGCGTTCATCGAGGACATTTATTGCTGATCCATGTGAACTGGCATTTACTTTTTCTACTAATCCAAAGTGAGCTAAGTAACATAATGACTCATTGACACCGACTGAAAAAATAAACGTAGAATGTCACACACAACTGCATCGGCTCAAGTTACGATACCTCACAGTAATGTACAAAGAACAGGTGGATAGAATAAGAGTAAGAGTGACATCAAAGTACATAAAGTTGTGTGAGAGAACAAACAATCTGAAGATAAAGGTCAGTGCAAATATTCAAGCTTTATAAGATGTCAAGGAGTGGAGTGAATACATCTACACCATTGTGACCAATTTACAACCATATCACCAAGAGTGACTCAGTCATCAACCACTGATTCCTATCGTCTCGAAGACCCCAGCCAGACAGTCTACATCTGCCAACACAGCTCAGACCAACAGTCAGTGACTTCATCAACTGGTTCCATGTCTTTGTTTGGCCACACTGAACCCTCCTCTTCCAACCTAATCCATCTTCCTCTAACATATCACATCGAGGTAGGCGTGGGTTCGGCATGCGTATTACATGTCCAAGTCACCTTAGTCGACTAAGGTGGTTAACAACCTCATCAATTGCCTAGTAGTACCCTTTGTCTAACCTCAACATTCATCACATGATGATATCATGTTCACTCAGTGTATATTGAAATTCGTGTGTGTAAACATTTGGATCTGATAAAAAAAACACGTGGTTAGGTGCAAAGATCACTGCACTGTTGCCTTCTTCACTTGCATGCACTCTTTTCACAAAGAAGCTTGTAGTTTATATCGGTAATACAGGGACTTCTAAAGGTTAGCTGGTATGAAGTAAAATTTTAAATAATTTTATTTGGTAAAAAGTAAGTATCTACTGCGATTTTTAAAATAAAAAATTCTATGTCTTTATTATATATAATGTTATAGATGCTGCAGTTGTTTTACTTCATAATGTCATCGCCAGTCTAGATGAAGGTGCTAAGTATGTTAGAGCAACCTTTTTAGACTATACTCCTGCTTTTGACTCTGTCCCTGAAACCTTTTTATTAAATCAGCTTGCCAGAACTCACATTAAGTCTTGGATTTTGAAATGGCTTGATTCATTTTGTAGATATCTTAACCAAGTCGGGATGTGATGGTTTGAAAAAATTTGGGCATTAAGTAAAATGATATTCATTTGGTATTTGAATTTCCTATTAAATGTAAAACCGAATAAATTTCTTTAAACTGACATTTCGCTATTTAGTGAGGCTAATAGCTTTATCAAAGATATAGTAAACCGGAATTTGAAATATTCTTCAAGCTTATATATGATGTGATAACTTGACATGTGTTCTGCAGCATGAATGATTTTGTGTTGTCAGTAATTGAAGAATAAAGGTTATATCTGTTTGTAGTGTAAAGAGTGTATGAATTACAGATGGAGATCTGTATGCACACATGTATGATGATAGTTCTTTTCGTATGCATGTATGCTGATTATGTCAGTATGTGGGGATGGGTTTGAGACTAGGTCAAACCACGTTTTTTCCCCTCATTCCCATTTAGACAAATTTGATTCCACTTTATGTGAAGAGATTCTGTTATGAAAATTCATTGGTAAATACAAATATCAAAATAATAGCTTGATTCTTATTTTACTGCGAGAAGACTGTACGCTGTATACAGGGGGAAACGCTCTACTCCGCTGCTTAGTGAAACCAGTTTGCTTCCTTTTCTTTTCTCTTTATTTTTGCACCACTTACCAACCTCAGCTAAAGCTAAATTCTTTAAGTAAGCGAATGCCCTAACAGTCAGTATCCATGAAGATCATCTCTTCTGCAGATTGCTCCCAGTTTAATAACTTCTTAACCGAAATTGGTCACTGGTCTTCTTTAAATGGCCTCACAATCTATGCCTCTAAATATCAGGTGGTTAATTTTAGTGTACTAGGTGCACAAGACCTATGTAAATTACTTCACTTCCATGGCTGTTGCTTCATTGACGCCTATGTTGTAGAGAATGTATCAAGTATGATCCATGTTGGTTTATGCTTTTCTTCTGATATTTCTTGATCCCCTCATATTTAACTGATTTCCGGAGGAATCCTTCACTTGACCGTTTATGTAAAGAAACTGAGACTTTCTGGAGTAAATTAGCCTCTCGTCTTATGTTTTGTTACTTATTATTCTCCCTTATTCCTTGCTGAACTCTGGAAGAAAGACTACGCAGTATTGCATAAGAGGTCATTAGTAGAGCGAGTGGGACACCACTAACTGTAGTGATGAATGCCTTTGTGGATAGGCATCTGAACTGTTGTAGACTACTGGCTAGAAATGTGTTATCTGTTGACAAGCATCCTCTGCATTTGGAGCTGTCTCCATGTGTGTATCCTCTGAGAAGACAAGAAGCAAATAAATTAAACTGTATGCACGCACAACTATGTACAAAAATTCAACCGTACTACTTTATTTAGCTTGTTTATTATGTGAAGGAAATCATGTAGGAAGTAGTCTTATGAAAGAACTTTGCAATAGCGAAGTGTTATCATGTCTCTGAAGTCATTAAACATTTCAGCAATGATGTTATTCTTTGTTATATATTGTTGGACAGCACAATTTTTATGCATATTTGAAGTGTTGTACAACGGTTAAACTGATGCGATATCACTTGCTGAGAATTCTGTACTCTAAACATAATTATGGCTGAGAATAAGGCCAACATATTAGTAGTAGTAGAAGCAGTACTATTATTATTTTCATTATTATTATAATTGTTAGTATTATTGCTTTTTAGGAATATCAAGAAATGTGTCAAACGTGTAAAGGTGCCGCTGCTACTTTACCTGATGTAAATCAAGCAGATCAATTAAGATCAGCTGTTCGAGGTGTAGGCACTGCGTGTATAAGTTTGGTGCAAGCTACATCTGCCAATCGTTCATATTATACAGATTCATATGGATCGGGGACAGGTCAGCAGTTAATGTTGAGTCGTAATAAAAGTATTGCTGAATTGGATAAACGAGCTGAATTCTTAGATGCAAAAGTAAGCGATTTAAAGCTAAACTTATTGAAGCGAATTTGCGTGCATATGTATGTGTGTGTGATTGTGTTTCTTTCTAAGCATTTGTCGCGATATACAAAATATCCTTTACGAATTACTGCATTCCCACTGAAATTCAAAAACATACAACTCAATGACCACTTTAAGTTTTGTATGTACGAGTAGATATTTAAATTTAGAATGATAGATTGCAGTAAGAACAGTACTCTAGGGAAAAACTTGGTTATAATTTGCTTGATAGTGGCTAGCAGTTGAATCCTCATAACACAGGTTCTATCCTGTTTGAGTCTCGTTAACTGGGTGTACCTGCATCCCAGTGCGTAATACTGTTCCCATTGGAACTCAAAAGCCAGAGCGCGTTTTCCGCTAGGCTACTGAAGCTATTTTACTGTATGAAATGCCTGTTAATAAATTGGGATTAAATAAACGTTTCAGTGACCAATACACAATAAGTAAAATAAGTAGATAATGCCTATATCCAGCATATTTCCATGTAAGGTTAATGTGGCACTCTAGACTAAAAGTATGACAATAAATGAAGAGATTCATTAAAATTGCGCTTAAAATTGGTTATTTCATATACAGTCTGAACAGAATAATAACCGCTAATGTCAGTCACATCACAAAAAGTTAACATAACAACATACCGGTTACCAGTAGTGAAAAAACACCTATTGTACGTAAGAGAAATGATTCAACTTGTACTCAAAGCATCTATCTGTATAGTTCTACTGCCAGTGAAAATGAAGAAAATAAGGGGCTTTACAACTCTGAAAAGAATAAACTACATCCTAAATGTTACCCTCTAAATGATGATATCTCAACATCAGACTAACAAAAGTGATATAACTTCGTAATCCACTACTACTCTCACGCTGATGACTTTAATATTGCTATGCTATCCATTCATCCAAGCACTACTTCCTATCTCAAGAATCCTCATTTACCAATTTTCTTCAAGCTCTTTATTTTGTAACCCCAGTTAAAGGGGAAGTACTTTCGTTTAAATTGGTATTCATTATGGGCTGATATCAGTTGGAAAAACATCGAAAACTTCGGAGCACTAGACACCTGTTTCGTCCTAGTATGGGATTCCTCAGAAGACCACACTAATGACCCCAACCCATCAGGAATCAAACCCAGGACCTTCAGGTTCCACCACTAGCACGTAACCACTGAGCCACTGGGTTGAAATCCAACGGTCCATATTTCCTACTTCTGTCAGTTCACGATATCCCACGATATACATCGAATCCCGTCGTTTGATAACTATTTTGTCCTCATGTCCGACTTGGTTGGGCTCACTGTTCACGACTTCTCATTAGAATTTTGGGAATTACCTCTCGAAGCGAGTCAGTAAAGATTAATTCAATTTAGAGGTTTGTGGGGAACCCGCACGGAACCTGAAGGTTCTGGGTTCGATCTCTAGTGGGGTGGGGTTATTGGTCCTCACTGCTGAGGAGTCCCATACTAAGAGGGAACAGCTGTCTAGTGCTCCGAGGTTCCCACTGTTTCTTCTTCCAACCTGAAATCAATAAATAAATCCCCACGAACCTTCCAAATGGCCTTTCATTTAGAGTTTACACGAGTCAACTTTTATCAACATTATATAATACATAATTTCAACTTATCTATTTCTATGGTATCCAACAGTACTATTTTTATTGTTGTTATAATCATCTCTATTGTTTTTTGATTGAGTTTTTTGTTGTTGGTTGGCTGACTATTATTAGACCAATGGGTCTATAAGTCAGCTGTATATTTTAAACAACTTGATGTTACACTGTTAAAATGCTTTGAATTATGTAAATTGTTGAAATGTTATAAGTTTATATTGTAATGCTTTTTGTTTATTTTTACAAAAATGGACAAGTTTGTAATAAATATCATGCCTGTATACTGACAACTGTGAAATATTCACTTTTCATTAATACAAAAAGGTAAAAAGTTCATCTTGTGTTTTTCAGTAGAAGTTCTCCAATGAGAAGAAAAATAATTATTAATCATGTTAGACAAATTTGAAATCATACGACAGCAACAATACTAATTTCTCTTCGATAGTAAAGCTCTAAATAGCATAAATTAATGTTTCAGGATTCCCAGTGCAGTTTACGATAAAATATCATAGTGTTGATTCTTTTAAAAATAATCCAAAATTAGGAACTTTGGGAATGTCAACGTGAACTATATAGTATGTCAATCATTTGCAAATTAATCACCCTAGGTAGGTGGCATACTTATGCATACAAGTCAGCTAGCCAGCCAGATCCAGATGATCTGAACAACTCTTCTCTGTGAGCTGAATTTGTCCTGTCCTGTCACACCACTGATGAGCTGGCTGGCTCTGTCTCCAAACCAGCGACACTTCCATTTACATCATTCTTTTCTGTCTGGCAAAATCTACATATCAGTTTGGTTGCTTTCTAACTACTCAAGTTGTTCAGCATTATATTTAGTTAGTTCATTACACTTGTGTGTCAGAGATGATACCTAGTGATCGCGGCTGGGTACTTTCCAATGGAAAGCCTGCTGACAGTTGAAAAACTCACCTCTGAGGAGTGTTAAGGTGCATCGTATAATTTGATCATCCTGTTTAAAGTATGCCGGTCCAGGGAAGTCAGCTAGCTAGCCAGATCCAGGCAATCTGAAAAATTCCTTTCTGTTGGCTTAATTTTTCCGGGTACATCGCTGACCAGCTCGACTCTAAACCAACGAAACAGTCATTCAGTGGTTAAGCCGCTCTGATCTAGCTACCGAAATTTACAGATCATCAGTGTGAGTGATCTCTTACTATTTAAGTTGTTCAGTAGTATATTTTACACTCATTCATTCAGGTTGATATGAACTGGTTACCATCCTGATCATGGTAAACATGAATAGGAAATAATTTAATTTGTTTCTTTTTGACCAGTTCTTGTTATTCATTGTAGTTCCAAAAGTCATTCGGTTTATAGTGGTTCTCTTCAAATCTAATTGGTGGCTGTATGGTGCGTGTCAGTACTCTGGGATGCAGATGAGTGTGTGGTAATATTATCATTTACTTTTTACCTGGAACCGAATTTTTTTCTTGCTTATTATTTCTTTTATTTGTATGTGTATAGTTACGTAACTTGATCAGTCTACTAGAAACACATGGTCCAGGTACACAAGCTTGTCTACAGTCTGCCAGTACAGTGAGCGGAATCATCTCCGATTTGGATACAACTATTCTTTTTGCTAGTTCAGGAACTCTGCATCCACCTATTCGTGATGATGTTGATGCATTATGGGCTGATGATGAATATGGTCAATCAAGACTAGTTGATCGAAATCATCCTGGTTATTTGGCATTATCAAATATTACAGATGGGACTGGTTTACCAAGTCGTGCAGGAAGTAAACCAGAAATGCATAATTCAGAGAATTTCACTCCTCTAAGGTAAATTTAGCCAAATTGATTGGTATATATATATGTACAGAGAGAGAGAGAGAGAAAGCAATTGAATTTTATTGGCAATGTATTAATAATCAATAGTGGGTAGCAGTGGAACCCACAACGCGCGTTTTGTTCTATCTGGGACTCTTCAGCTGGATACACCTGCCTCCTAGTGAGCGGTATCGTTCCTACTAGGACTCGAACCTGGAGCCGGTAGCTCCAAACGCCAGAGTTTTGCACACTAGGCCACCGAGTCGCGATAGCCACTTCTTGTGTGACGGGCATAGTTTTTACGTTGTTACTTGTTTTATCCCGTCGTTGACTGGACTGAATTGATTGCTCTCTATATATTGGCATATGAGCCCCTGCACGGGATGCCTCAACATTGCGTGTATTTCAGTTTTACCTTAGTGATTTATCAAGAAGAGTTAACAGTTTTGAAAACAAAAAAAAATTTCATCTATTTGAATAAAATTACATTTCTTTCTTAGAAATACTCATAATTAACACTTGAATTCAAGGTTAAAACACTTTGTACGATGAAAAGCAACTCAAAACTGAGTTAGTTAGTCAAGTTGTACTAGTCGAATGGATGTTTTAGATATACGACTTAATTGTTTCGAATCACTGTTGTTTCTTCTTTGAAGGATCACAACTGACCATTGCATACTTTTAAGACTAAACTTACCTGATGAGTTGATATCATTTATCCACCCGTTCCTCACTCCCAAGAAACTTTCTTCACCATACTTCTATCTCTAATAGTATCTCATATATGGATATATGTAGTGAATGCTTATACAAAAGATAACTAGTCAGTGCAAGTTTACAAAGTTAATCAACTCTATTAACTCTAATTTTGGAAAACTCACCGTCTAATTCAACAATTGATCAAAAATCCACTTTTTTGATATTGAGCTGATGGAAAACTAATATGGAATGGTCAACTTATGAGTTGCAAACAAATCTAATCATCTCTTGCCACTTACATTAAATAAATCTGCACTCCCCTATGTGTTGAAATAGGAAAGTTCTGTTCTAAGCAAAATATTCTGATTGGAAATTGATTCCCATCACGTTGTATAGACGAAAACGTTGTAAACGGAACCCCTCTACCGTGCCAAGATGCTGTGTATGAATCCAAATTTTAAAGGTAGTTTTGTTGCTGAAATTCTAAAGAGGAGGACATCAAACTGTATAGGACAAGCATTCTTTGCATCCATGCCTAGATTAGTATTCTCCTGTCACCTATTGGTTTCTAACGAGTTGAAAGACAAACTTTCACCTCTGATCACTTCTGTGTGTATATTAATTCACCTGCTCTTGTGAAGCCAGGTATATAGATTGTTGGGTGCGACTGTTATCCGTAAAGGTTCAGGAGCACTATCCCGCATGGCAACAAAGATATAGTGGTTGATCGATAAAAGCTACTATAATTGAACATGTCGTGAACATGGGTCACCCTATCTCAGTAATCTCTTCATTCAAAGTCATAAAATGAAAAAAATCTTCCAAAGACTATTTTTCCGTATTCTCTGCATTGTTGAGGCTCTTCCCACACAAATAGGGAAAGCTGAAGTTTATGCTCAAAATAAGATTGTTCAACCTCTTCCACTTTCAGTCTTCGAAATCAACTCTTTCTTTTTACACTACTTCTTATGTAATTTACTATTCATTCTCAATTCTATACTCTTTCTAATCACACTTCAGTTTCCAAATATTTTTTCACGTTACGAAACTTAGTCATCTTTACGCAACTCTTGTCACATCTTGATTAATCTTAACTGTTCATCTCAGTTTTTTGATTTTAGTGGCAGCTTATTTATTGACACTATTTTCTTGTCATATTTATCAAGTCACTTTTAACCATCATATCTTAACACAAGAAAAATGTATAGATTTGTATAGTTTTGAAAATGAAATCTCTGAAATACTTGTTCTTCTCTAAAAAAACTATTCATCCGGTGGTTTTACACTGACTACAATCCTTCGACGAAATTTGCTATCCCATATATGAAACTCCTTGTTAATAGTTGCGTTTCATAATCATATGGGGGGAACAGATTTTACCTTTTTATTACATCATACACTTGTCTCGTGGTAGACAGAGTAGATAACCTGTCATTTTGCAAGTGCTAATCAAGTTCTCAATAGCAATTTTGAGGTAAAGGTTGAGTTAGTCTACTGAAACTGAAGTGACTGAGTGAATAATAATAATAACGTGATGACATACTTGGACTGGATACGAATAGTGACCGTTATCCCTCAGAGCCCTATACTTTACTGAGCTGCAAAAATCAGAAAACAAAGACTAGCCTATGACTAGACTGTAAGGAATACACTTTATTCGACAAAAATGCATCATTTATATAGTTTTCATCAACATATAAAACCACTATGTGAGAAGCTGAGTGTTTATTTTGATTGGTCAATTGTAGCAAAAAATTGTCCAATAAGTTTTTTCCTGACCACACAGTACCATGAAACAAAAGGCGAAAACCGAAACTTCTGCCCAAGCAGCTGATGACTTAAAATGTTGATAACCATTTAAGCCACTTCTTTTTAGAAACGAAGTCAATTTGACGGGTAAATGAAGCATCAGCAAGCATCCTTCAACTGGATCACATAAAAAAGATCTCACAAATCAGATTAACATCACTTGACATACCTTTTTTTCAGAAATGGATATAATAGCTCACATTTCACACATCATCTGAGATCTAGTCAACATCGTCACAAATAAGTGTTTATATGCATCACAATACTTTTGAAAGTTTGTTCAACTACCGGACTTAAGTGTAGCACAACTGTCTGCATGCGCTTTCATTCGACTAAGTCTTACTGCTAACGTTATTTTTTACTGAGAACTGAAGAATTGAATGCAAGCTGTGTAAAAATACAAGCGATCTAATGTGTAGCTAAAACAAGATTTAAGCATCGATTGGACTGGTTATTAATCAGTGTGTTCGTCTCAACAGGATTTTTTAGCCTACTTGACAAATATTCTGACTGTGGACGCCTACCCTATTTATTCGTTGTTAATTTCCTGGATAAATAGCCTTATTAACAGGCAGTACAACACCCCCTTTCTAATTCACTTCGATTGGGATTGAAACAAGAAGACCTGCTCGGGTAACCAATGTGATTACGACGAACAAACAGTTATGTATTATGGATTCAAATGGAAAATCCTTCAGGGTTACAGTGAAGCTAGGACCTGATTAGCAGATGGATGCTGTAGCTCAGTTGGTGGAGCGCTAGACCGATAGTCTGTAGGCTGCTGGTTTGAGTCCTAACGTGACCCAGGTTTCCGTTCCATCTTTAATCATCACTCACTATGAGTTGTTAATTTGTTATTATGAAGGGTTTCAGAACCAGAAGAAGTAGGTAGCACCCGAATAATGGAGGGAAATGTAAAGTTGGTTTATCTGATTTTCATCATATACCAAATCTTTTCACCTAATGTCTTAGTTCTGAACTTGTGAATTTCTTGTTTAGTGTTGTCTATAGTATAACCACATCCAGGTAACGAATTAAGAAGATTATAAGGAATCCAACTGTAGTGATAATACCATTAATATCATTTTTGCGATGATGCATCTTACAGTGAATGCTATAAATCTCTTCACTCACAACACACTTATATTCTGACTGATTTGATTTTAGAGAAAGCATAGCTCGTACTGCACGTGCTCTTGTTGATGATACTCAATCATTGGTTAGCGGAACTGGTGAAGATCAAGCACGACTAGCTACCACAGCGCATATTGCAGTTGAACGTATTACACAACTTGCTGATGTCGTCAAACGCGGTGCAGCAGTGATTGGTCCAGGTCAACCAGATACACAGGTATGCTTTAAATGATTGCTTTTTTAAACCATTTTTTAACTTGAGTTTTTGCAGTACTGTGATAAGGAAAGTCTTTTTTCTCTTATACAAAAAAACGAAAGCTACTTTCTGATACAGTTAGATCGGATAAACTCTTTTACGCATCCCTTGATAGAGCTTTCAGTACAAATGAGTAGTACTAGTAATGCATCGGTCTTTATTTTATCTGAATAGACAGACAGACCCTTGTCTATTTTAGTGAGTAGTTGTCAGAGGTCATCAGTGTAACCCATACATTCATATGTGTTTATATGTTGTTCACTAATGATTATTTGACAGCATAAAACTTGGAAATCATGCTAACCTCCAATACTTCTTCGAATCCTTCGGTTGTTTTGAAAAGTAAACAGTTCAACATTCTTATAGAACGAAACAGCTGTCTAGTGCTCCCACGTTTCCAATTTTTCTATTTTAAATACCAGCCTAAAATCAATAAATAAATCCCCTCGAACCTCCAAATAGAAATAATCTAGTGTTCATTACTGACTCGCTTCGAGAGGTAATTCCCGAAATAGGTGTGTGGACCACTGAGGAGTCCCATGCTGGGGCGAAATAGCTGTCTAGTGCTCCGAAGTTTCCAATATTTCCCCTGATGTCAATCAGTGATGAAAACAAACCTGAAATCAAAAAATAAATCCCCAGAAACCTCCAAATTAAATTATTGTAGTGGAAATTATCCCTCTTTTTTGTTGATAATTAGTAAAACATTGATACTGGGTGACGATTAAAGTGAAATTAAGGTATGGTCAACAGCTTCTGGATCTGATAAGTTGGCGGGGTGACAACCCAAAAGCGGCTGGCTCTAATCCTGACACCAACTAGGTTTTCATTTCCTATTCAATCATCACCCAATATCAGTAATACAAGTCTGCTAAACCACTTCTACTTATCTCATTTGGCAAAAAGACAAAGCAGTAGCTGTTATTTGATATTTAACAGTATATATTTTATACTTTGCATACAATGCATGTACTGTTCATTGGATATTTCATCTTTCTCTTCACAATCTCAACTCTAGAACCATTTAATTGCTGCTGATAAATCATTCAGTTCACGATTGTCAGCTAAATTATTTTTGTGCTGTCTAATACTTGCCATATTTTGAATATATATGCAATTAAAGTATAAATAATTAGATAAACAAATAAATGTATTATGATCTAGCTTCTCTGTCATTTATTCGCCTATGGCCAGCTGAATAATCTGATCTGGATTTCAATTTCATTGCCATCTAGCCTTGCCTACATCCTCTCTGTGAGCCTGTCTCTCTTCCTCCGTTGCACTACTTTGAATTTCTATCTGACTAGTCTTACCGTTCTTTAAAGCGTTGATGGATAGCCTTTTGTAAATCAGTTTACTCTAGCATTCATCATGGATTTATGCTAGACAGTCATCGTTTGCACCACTGATGATTCACTTATTAGTTGTCTTCTGGCGAAGAACCCCTCTTCACACACACACGCACGCACACAGTACACCTAACCCCAAGATGATTTTCCTTGCACTAATTATATCAATGTTGCGCCTAACAGAACTATTAAAATGAGAGTAATTTCATTTTGTTTATGAAATACCTATGATATACTGGAATACAATTATATCGCTGTTGCACATTCCTTGGTATTCCGAATTATTTCACTTCTATGATTATCGAAATGCTGCTTATCCATGATCAGACTGTTATTTATGTGCATTCAACTATGTCTGTGTAACATAAGGTGTATGTGGATCCAGGCTATCGTCAGTTTACCTTAAGGTCAATGTAGAATGGACCTGGTTTAGAGGCTAGTTAGTATAACAATATACAGATAGATATATTTTTAAGGTAGTATTCATCATGGATAGATATCGATTGGAAAACCATTGAAAACTTGGGAGCACTGGACAGCTGTTTCGTCCTAGTATGCTACTCCTCAACAGCATGCACCCATGATCCCGCCAGGGATTGAACTCAGGATCTTCAGGTCTCCTGGGGAACGCGTCAAGAATTCAGCTACTGGGTCGGTGTTCAGTAGCCCACAGTTTCCTACGTCTGTCAATCCGCAATGTAATATGACTATCTGCCAAGGTCTTCAGTCAGCATACGCTTCACTTCCGACTGGTTGACGTGACAAGTCACAGCTCTTCATTAGAACTTCAGGATGTTCATCTCCAAGCATGTCATTAATGAGCAGTTTGTTTGCAAGCTTCTGCACCTATTGTGATCTATTCATCGATAAGGTTTATCTGCTGCAATACTGAGACATAATTGTCCAGTTGGAAAAGTTAACGGTCAACTCCGATAGTATCATATAACATGTCTAATAGTTGCGTAATATTGAGCCAGTTGTTCTTAGTACTACTTACAAGTGATCTATCAATATTGATTATCATTTAGAGAATACTACTTGTAATCATTTCTAACCATTTCATTTTCATGCTACAATTCTAAGCATGATTGTTTTTGTTTCTGTTGGCGGTAATCACTTTCGCATTTATTCAAGCGTACACGTATCCACAAATATGCATTACTTTTATCGATTGCTTTATGTATTAATGTAGTTAGTGTTGTATTGTGACATAACAGATTACAGCTAACTGAATTAAATTTCAAGTAACAGTTACGTTATATTAAAAAAAAAAACGATTTGAAAGAAGAATATACTTTTCAATAAATTCTCATCAAGTTATACAGTAATAAAATCGAATTAATTGTTTGAGGTGAATGAATTTTCAAAATGGAATATGAATTACAGACTGTAAGGAAGATCAATCTTCATTTTAAATTTGTCAATAATTGTGTGAATTATGCATAAATGAAGCATATAATGTCAAAAGTAATAAGAAAGATATAAAGACCAAAGGAGGAATAACGTATAAATACAAATTTCATATTTGATCAATCTTACTGCTGCAACTTATAAAATGAAAACAGATATCTTGAAATGTTCATCAAATTGAACACCGATCACATTAATCCCAAACGTGAATTGATGACAGTTGGAGAAAAAACCTCTGATTCTGCAGTTAAAATTCACATCAGACATCTTTAATGACATCTAATCACAACGCTTAAATAGAAGAGTAAATAGAACGTTTTACTCATGACACCTTTGCATACGTTTTAGTAGTTGGTCAATACTCAACTCCAGACTAAAGATATCCTACCTAATCTTAACTCTTCATCTTGCATGTAATAATTTAACTATTACTGTGGTACAAGTTACATAGGATGTACGGTGAAGCAGGTGTGTCTCTGGATACGACAACATTCCCCGGCTTGGTTTAGAAAAGTTGGAGCGAAAGCAGTAAAAGGTTCTATTTTAACCCACCACCTACTAAACACAGGGCATCACATAGATGCTAGTAAAGCTTTTAGTGGCATACACCATGTTCTAAAGCATTACCCTATGAGCAACTCGCCAACATAGCAGATCAAGTATGAACTTTGTATTCAGACGTTACTCCTCCCTTGGTCTTCAAATAAACTAAAGACTACTCTCATGTCTTTCTTATTACTTTTGACATCACATTCTTCATCTATGCATAATTCACACAATTATTGACAAATTTAAAATGAAGATTGATCTTCCTTACAGTCTGTAATTCACATTCAATTCTGAAAATTTATTCACCTTAAACTTGAGGTACTTTTTTATGTTGAACAATTAATTCGATTTTTATTACTGTATGATGATCGAAGATGAGATGAAAATTCGGACCGCGGCCGGATTCGAACCAGTGACTACCGGGTTTTGGGCCCGACCCGGTCCATATCTCAGTTGGTAGAGCACCGGGCTGGAAACCCAGTGGTCTCTGGTTCCGATCCGGCCGCTATCTAAATGTTACTTATTGAGTTAAATAAAGTACGCTGCGTTCTATGCGATATTGAATAAGCTGATAGATTGAGTGTTAACACTCACCTATTTTGTTCATTTCTATACAAACACATATACGTACATTTCGAATATGTGATTAGATAATGAAAAAAAATGAAGGCGAAATGATTCGTATACCACTTTTTTATAGAGATAACTGATATTGACAGTGAGATGAATTCAAAATTCATTCAATCGATAAACGAAGCAAATACAACAGCTAAATTTAAAAATCACCTAATTGGAAAGCCAATCAATGTATTGAAAAAATTTTTTTTGTTTTGATAGTGGTAGTATTTTTAGTGATCGTTACAAGGTCATTCTTCAAACCCAATATGTTAATGTCTTATTAAAAAATGTGAAAGGGAATTCATACATTCCTACATAATGAACCTTGCATGGTCTGACATATGTTGCACTTTTTGAATAGATGTTATGTCAACTTGAATTGTGAGGAGTAATAATAATAACAATGATAATAATATAAAATCATTAGAGTGTTTTTAGGAAATGTTAATTTTAAGTTTCAAGTTGTTATTCATCAAAGACTGACATCAGTTGGAGGAACAAAGGAAACCTGGGAGCACTGGACAGCTGTTTCGTCGTAGTATGGGACTCCTCAGCAGTGTGCACCCACGACCCCACCAGCAGGGATCGAACCTGCGACCTTCAGGTTCCGCGGCCAGCGATGAATAACAACTTGAAATATTTCCAAATCTCCACAACCCCCTCAAAAAATTTAATTGAACTAGTGCTCGTTGGTGACTAGCTTCGAGAAGTATTCCCGAAGTTCCAATGACAAGTCGTGACCGGTGGAGTCAAAGCCTGATGGCCGTGAGGACAAATACTCAACGATGACATTGGGTGGTGGTTTGCGCTATATCGTGAGCTAACAGAAGTTGGAAATATGGAGCATTGGATTCTGACCCAGTGGCTAGCTCAATGGTAACGCGCTGGTCGCGGAACCTGAAGGTCGCGGGTTCGATCCCTGCTGGTGGGGTCGTGGGTGCACACTGCTGAGGAGTCCCATACTAGGACGAAACAGCTGTCCAGTGCTCCCAGGTTTCCTTTGTTCCTCCAACTGATGTCAGTCTTCGATGAATA